CCACTACCACCCCACCCCGCCCCCGGCCTCTGATCTCGCCGCTGTGTCGCTAATTGCTCACCGCCCCGCAGCAGCAGCATCGCGTTGTCGTTGTCGTTGCCGTTACCCGTGTTGTCTTCGTCCTCCACTTGGTCGTCGAGGCTGATCTCGTCTTCAGGCAGATTCTTTCTCGCTCTCGTGAAGACTCCAAGTAAAGCCTCTTATCGAAGTAATAATTTCACATCCTTTGCTCTTTGAACGGGTACGGCAGCGCTTTTCCCAAAAATGAAAGACTCTGTAAGCAAGCGCTGGGTCCGTTCGGACGTCCAGCAGCCGTCGGGTCATCCCACAGGATCGTCCAATTCTCTTTTATACTCTTCGTTCAAGATACAGAGCGCGTTCGTATGCATATAAAAAGTGCATAACAGGGTGTCTAAGAAGTGCGTGCGTCTGGGAAAAAGAAGTCTCCCCCGTTCCTCGTGAGTGGCGATAATGACGATGATTTCAGCGGTAGTAGGCACGCACACGGGGTTGCCGACGGAACGCACTTTTGATTGGTTTAATCGTTTGATGAGGGGCCATTTACACCTTTCCGTCGGTGGTAAGTCGAGAGAATTCCGCGACGACCTCTGGGGCCCTCCGGCGTAGATCGTTGCTACCGATTTATCATTAGTGCCCTTTATAAGGGATGCCCCGGTCCTTCCTTACCCGTCTTCCACTTGCTGCGTCTAAATCCCGCAGCCGTGCGTGCTGCCTTGAGGATGCTACCGCTCACTTGCAATTTTTAATTGTACAGTCGCGGGGATGATAGAGAGCCCGTCGTGCCTGGCGGAGCCAGAAGACTCGTGATGTCGTCGAAACTCGAGAGTTTCCAGGTACTCGAGACGTCGAGGGAAAGGTGAAACGTTCCTGGAACGAGTTACTCTCGGTGAAGGAAGTGAAGATCGGCGCATCGAGGCTTTCGTTTGGCGCTCGAGACGAGGAGCTAAACGTCCCCTCGGTCATTTCTCGTCGCTACCATTCGTGGAAGCCCTTTGACTTCGAGTATTATGCTGGCTATACTTATAAATGATCCTAGTGATTACATTGTTTTCATGTGTCGACGGCTTTGAGATTGTAATTAATCGCTGGGCAAGACGAACATAACCTCTCTGTGTTATGCAGGGTCAGCCGGTAGGACCGGACGCGACGATTGAACGACTTTAATATTTGACAGGTCAGATGCGCCTTGCGCATCGTACTAAATACATGTAGAGTTTGACTAGTTATTTTCTGGCGGGTAATTTGAGAAATATACGTGTCTGATTCTTATGCCCGCACGTGGAGTTTGCACTTCCGATTTATTGGTTTGAGAGGAGTGCTTGTCGGAAAGAGACGAAGACAGAGATTGAGAGAGACTGGATTTGGAATTGATGCAGAGTGTGCGTAGGCGGAAGATCACAGACGGAATTCCGACGTAAACGGGCTCAAACTGTAATCCCTGTCTCTCTGTTCTCCCAGAAAATTTATACTTGTTGCTTTGATTCTCTCATCTCCGCTACTTTGATGTTGGGTGGCAGTTGTACGAAATCAATTTATTCTCATTACACCGTGCAGGAACGATGCCAAGGGAGGGCGGACCATGCAAGAGAATACCAGGCGTGCAACTGAACGGCCGACAATAGCAATGGTCCAGAAGAGCTGCCGTCATTGTAAGCGCAAAGTTTTTTACCGCGAACAATGACCTGGTAGGATGACGAACGTAGACTTTAAGTTATCCCAGCGAAAGGTGTCGACAGTTCATCAGGCAAGACGGAAGTTGGTCAATGGGGAAGAGGGTCGGGGTGCCGATAGGCACAGAGACAAGACGCTGGCAAAAGGGCTCAAAGTTGCTTGAGTCAGCAGAGATCAAATATCCCTTGAAGCTTCAGAGGAAAGTTGGGTTCAAAGAGTTTCGTTAAATCGCAGTTAAAAGTTATACGCTACGGTGGAACGAGAAACTGGGAGTAACGAAGTCGGTTAGGCGTGAGAGTAGAACGACAGATGAAAGAGTCAATGACTTAAGGGTGCGTTTTAATCGGAGCTACTTTTATTTGACGCCACGCCAATGCGAGAGAAAATTCAGTGGCGGAATAACGAAGTACAAACGGCAAGACGGTACACAGTCAATTACGGTGAAACGGTGTCCCACGAAAGTGGAACTGGCTGCTGGAATTAAATACACGAAACTGCACTTAAATAAAAGTCACTCGATAACAATTATTCTCTGTACACTTGCTGCAAGTGCGATCGGAATGCCATGCGAAAATTTTATTAAACTCCTGCAGCGCTAAGTTACGCCGTTAGCTGTATGACCGAAATTACACTCTGGTGATTTATGTGTATTTCACGACGCACTTTGGAATTTTGTTGCAAATGTTGTAGAGGGCGCCATTATCTAAAATTAGCTGGACACGCAAATATATGCTGCACGTATAATTTTCATTGACGATGCTAATCTTTTGTGTTTAACAGACGAGCCCGAGGATACCTAAAAAATTTATAAAGGTACGTTCTTAACGAGCGTTCGTGTATTATCATGATTTCCGCGTTTTCTTCGTTCGTTACGATCATGCAGATTGTATTTGACATAGATAAATTAAATCATTTTTTCTTTTTCTATGTTAATATAAAAGTAATAAAAAGACTTACAGGCATGTTTTCTACTTCGTTGAATAATTGTTCATTCAATTCCAGTAGCAGTTCCATTTTCAATGCTACGCTTTAGAGTCGGTGGCAGAGTGCATTTATTTTTTTATGTAAATTCCCGACTGCTCGACCAAGAAAGAAACGCGTGCCACGAGGTCATTAGGAGTTCAAAGGCACATTATCCGGAAGAAAGGAAACGTGGCGGGTGAATATCGAGCGGAAGTCCCGAGTATCGAGCAATTTACGTGACATTGTGCGAGGCGTCAGAGTTTCTATAGCTATTATAACGAGTTCACCATTAAGCGCATTTAAAAAGCCAGCGCGAACTTCGTAAAACACGTTCGAATCTCTTATTCGTAAATTGGCCAATTACTGGCTTGAAACTTTCTAACACCAGACACTTGCGCTTTATCAGCGGATCCTTCGCATTGTTTATATGACACTCCTCGTCGAGTTTCTACGAAGCGCGAGCAATCCTAAAAAAAATTTCGTAGACTAACGAAGTCAGCTGGCCGTGGTTAATAAATAACTCGAATAACACCTCCAGCGTCTCGATATATATCGATCGACAAAGTTTTTTACTGTCGGAATCGGCCGAGTGGCATCGAACGGCATTTACCTTCGAGTTCGATATAATCGAGACGCCAACCGAATATCAAGAAACAGACGTAAACACATTTCGAAGGTAATGAACTCAGGAATAACTTTTACGAATGCGATAATGATTGATCTCTTACCTGAAATTCGATTTTCATCTCGTTGCTGTGACAGTCGTTCAAGACCGTCCAATCGCCAAGATTCACTTCCTTCTATGGATTCACTCTCGAATGAACAATCGAAGAATCTTCGATGGAGTCTGCACTCAAACCGTTTTTCGTTCACAATCCGTCAAACATCTTCTCGTCATTGTCGAGCAGCATACAGCGCGCAATGCAGTGGCTGATGGTAAATAATCGCGAGTGCGATCTCTTGCGGAACGCCGACTCCAGTGAGAGAGAAAAGGAGTGAGAGGTACGTGGCTCCCGGCGAACGAGGAGGGTAGAGCGAGACGGAGAGAAAACACGTCGCGCAGAGAACTCTGGTCTTATTCGCCTCTACTGTCGTGATTCGTGAATCGGAGCGTACGCCTGGGTTTATGGTACGTAGGTTAGGAAGGGATGGGTGAGGGCTAGACGGAAGTGCCGAAGCGGAGAGACAGGGTAGGAAAGAGGGAGAAGGAAAAGAGAGAAGGAGGAGAAAGAGAGGAAAAAAGTCACGTGGTCAAACGCATGGGCAGACGAGAATGACGCGTCTATGGAGCACGCGTGCGTCGCGGATGACGGCCCGCACCACACTGCCGTAGCTTCTTCCCTTGTGCTGGACTACTTGTGTCTGTCTCTCTTTCTCTCTCTCGCTCTCAGGCTATCTTCGAAAACAACAAATCTCGAAGCTCTCGGACGCGCATATGCCGTTCTTCACCGTGGATCACCACTTCGATACTCCGAGGATCTCCTTGTACCTTCCGCCAACGTAGTCAGGCGCTGACTGACAATCGGACCAAGTTAAACCGTGCGAAGTAACCACTCGGAGAAGAGCGGAGTAACCCCCCACCTACAGCATTCCGAGGGTTGCGATGCTCGGCTATATAGGTACGGTTTCTAAGACTGCCGACTTGCCAGTTGGGATCAGCCCTCTTCGCCACCAGGCTAACCTTTAACAGCCGTATAATCACCTCCTCTCCACCCTCCTATCCCTTGAATCCTCACCCCTCCCCTACAGCCACGACTGGCCTATCCTTGGCCCGAGGGCCGAACGGCTACCCCTCTCTCTTACACAAAAACTCTACTCACTCTTTCTCCTACTTTCTCTCCTCTTTCATATCTCTCCGCTCCACTCTCTGACCCCTTGAACCGTTCTCTGACCCGAGGAGCCCCACCTCGTCTTTCGGAAGCCCTCCTTTTTTCCTTCGTTATTTCTTTCTCCTTAGGCGACGTCTCTTAACTCGAAGCTTTTTCGGTCAGGGGTGCTTTTCACCATGAGATTTATGCGACATTCATGTCCCTCTAAAGGATGCACGGATTGCGAAATATGCTCTGTGACGTAGCTGGTACCTTTGTAAGATCCTCCCAAGGATGGAGACGCGACATATGTATATATATCTCATCACGTCACGTCTCATATTCCTTATTATAAAGATGGTTCCTAGACTTCCTGCCTTTAATTCCTGCTTAATCCTAGATGCAGCGAGTGCACGGAACTCGAGTGAGATGCAAATCGCCACGACCAAGAGAGATAGGAGAAGAGAACGAAGAGAGAAAGAAGCCTAAGAAAAGTATAACAGAAACTCGTGAACCAGGGGTACAGAGGGGCAAGGGGATGGTAGGAAGAGTAAGGAAGAGCAGTCGGTATACCGAATACCGCGCCCTTATCGAGAAGCCAGCGAGTCGGGGCAGAGCAGGGCAGGCGCCAGCCGTGACGAAGTGCCGGGCAATCTCTGCCGTTTCTCTGGACGGGCCCGCGGCGGCCTGGAGACTGTTTCCCGTGGTCTGGACATTGCCGAAGATCAAAGTTCCGAAATGCGCGGCGTCGACAAAAGCGAATCGCGCAGGTGGACTTGTCGCAAGTCCCGTCCGGCGTCTCCGCCCTGGCTGCACCCTGGACAAGATGGACAATAACGTCCGGGGAAGCGATTCGCCACGACCTGCTCTCTAACTGGGGCCAAACCAGCCACTAAAGGGACACTGATACGCGTATAATGGCAATGAGGGTTCTGCTCCTTTTACCACCCGATGGCCGATGCCACCAGACTCATATCATAAATCTTCATTAGAAGAGCCAGCTTACCTTACCTTATTTTTCAAAACGAACTTCCAGATTGAGAGGTTCCAGGATCCCCTTCCTCGAACCTCGTTAGCTTCGAGATCTCGTCCGTCAAGCGTCTTTTGGATCTTGCGACAGCTCGGCCAAGTCGTTTCGTCGTATTACGGAAACTACGAGCCCCAAACTGCTGTTACGTAACTGACGTTGCTCGTCCCCGGATGCTACTCCTTGGCGCGAAGTGCGTTCTTCGGAATCTCGTTATACCAGATCCGTGACTCTATGTAGCGGCACGTGAAATGGGATTGGCTCTTACGGGATGCTGTGTATTATGGGTCCAGTCGGTGTCCCACGTAGTATCATAGGATACCGATATTGTCGGAATCGTGTAGCGCGTTACGGAGGTTACGGTACACCGCGATCGTTAACGGCCAGAGCTGCCCAGAAGACGCTGCTCTTTGGTACTTACAGTACCTAGTCGGGTTCTTACGCTACTCAATGCTTCAAGGAACTCGACTGGTACTTCCGTTCAAGAAAATCGAGACTCGTTCTTATATTTTTCACCCATTATCCTCAGTCTCATTGATACGAACGAATGGATCGACGGATACGAAAAAGAATAAAAAAATTTTCTATAATACTCCCGACGCGATTTCCATCCAATAGCACCTTGACTCATTAGCGAATTAAGACTTTCACGCTGCAATAACTTTACTGCAAGTCCGAGTCGTTGGTGCGCGAGATGCATCAAAATGGCTAGGAGGAACTATAAAGTCCAGGGTGAACGCGGCGCTGCATTAATTTTATAGCTGCTTTATGAGCTGAATCATCTCTTCATGATTTCTTCACTGTGTTCCAGGAGGCGTTCGGGCGTAATGTTCTGCACGTTTAGTGCCACTTATTTCAATGCTTCCGGCCTGTACCGACGATTTCTGACATAAGAAGAAATCACTACGGTATATACAAGATAATGATGATGAGGGCGACCACCGAAATTGGTACGTATGTACCATAGATAACCGTCGGATGACATCATCACGGACTTTTGGAATTTCGTGGTAATTTCATCCTGCGTATCACTATCTTCTTTTTTTTTTCATCCACAACTTCCCCTTCCCCCGATCATCCTTTCGTCCGAACGAATCTCAAAATCATCGTATGCCAAGTGAGATCATCGATTTTAAATATCCGCGGGTCCAGCAACGACGCTGCTATGCATATAATGTAATTTTCGGGTGGAGTCATTCTCATGGCTACCCCCTACTCATAATTTCTCTCTCGCTCTTACTCATGAAATTTCTCTTGATAATCTCACTGGCAGTACGGTACTTCCGAGTACCACGTTATTCTCGGAGTACTTAGCCATAGCTATAGTAATACCCTATAGCTAAAGACTGTAACGCGACATCATTATCTTCTTGCGTCATTGCAACCTCAGAGAGAATATACCAATGTAATACGTACCAACACTCAGCCTAATAAGTAGGTTGACGCATTTGGGTTGGTTGGCGCTAAAATAGTCTCGCTGGACCATAGTCGATCGTCTATACTTAATAACGTTTAATCGCGTTTCACTACCATATTCGGTAACAAGATCATTTCTATAAAATGATTTCAAAGCTCCAGGTACAATGCGCGATCGTACGTAATCCCCCCTTCCTACCGTCTTCAATAAAGTTAAGTAGGTACCATAAAAAATCCTGAAAATAATGCAGTACGTAACGGTCCATAGGGATGCTGTGTTTAGAGATGATAGAAGGTCATTAAAAGGATGCCGGTATTCCACGAAAACGTTCTCATAATCAATGCACTTCGTGGACACCATTAATCACATAGACAGAACCGAAAAGTATGTCGCTCTTGACAAGCACGGTATCAACTGTTATTTATGATTAGTCGGGACATAAGTGGAATAGCGGTCCAACAGTTTTATCCCAGGAAGATCTGGACCCGCGACAAAGACGGACTCGCGTTGATTTCATTATGTGCGCGCGATAGCGTTGATTTCATTATACGTTGTGATATAGTGTTGATACACTCGTGGTCTCTTGCCGTATAAGATCACCAGGTGGTGTAGGTTAAGAGAGGGAAGGCCAGAGGGCAGTCGGCACCTTTCATCCCTTCCTCTTGGCCGTATATACCTCCCCTCCCGGCACTCCTTCACCCTTCGTATACCAAGCATCCTCTTGCCAAGTCTCTCACGGCTCTACACCCTCCACCCCTTACCTGCCCCGTCTCTGTCATTCACTGGTGTTTACAACCAGTTCAAACTATCCCGGATGCCGGGCGAGCGATAAGGTATATTCGTGAATCGTTATCGCTGATCCAGGGAAGTGTAACTTCTTAGAATTAAATTTATTAATCAATTCACGCAATTGACGATCGGCGAATTAGTAAATTTTTCGCGGATTGTCAATCGATTCGTCAACGCGTGACTTGTCTGAAAAAAAATTATCTTTTTTGCGAACACGTACGAAAGTCCAGCCACGTGTTCCGTAAGGTCTGAACGATACATAAGGGTTGGTCCGCTCTTACAATGGTCTCATGACGTACAGAAATTAGTGGCTGTACCAGTCAGGGTTAGTAGGGTGTAAAAGTTGGCATTCACGTACAATTGACTGTCGCTTTGTATTTACGTGAAGTGTGACGACAGAGGTAGGTGGCGTCGCGACGACAAGGCGACGCACGAGTGTGCTAGGAGCAGGTGGCTGATTATCGTTCGGACGGGAGGAGCAATGCTGAAGGTAAAGGAAGTCGGTAATACAGAGTATGATTCTTTAATACACAGTACTTACATTCTTCCCGCGTAATCTTGACGTGGCTGTGGTTAAAGAATCGTCGATGGATGAAAATGGTGGAGCGAGGAGGTCTCGTGCCCCAAGTTCTTCTTGGTCGGCCGCTCGCGAGAGCTGGTGGGGCTAATGAGAATTCGCCGGGGGTAGAAGAAGGACAGAGCGACTCGTCAATCGTCGGCGAGACGGAGGCAGGTGTACATCAGGGTTGTCGGCGCGTTTGATCTTGGCTGAGGTGGGATAGGACAGGGATGCGTATATCGTTGAATCGGTGGCGAGTATAGGAGAGTGAAAGAGAGTAGAGAGAGGGGAGAGAGAGAGAGAGAGAGAGAGAGAGAGAGAGAGAGAGAGAGAGTAGTGGTATACGAGTTACGAGGAGAGTGGTGGAGGGGAGCAGAGTGCGTAGGGAGGGGGGAATCGCGGTGGACCACTATTATGTAAACATCAGCGTTCCTTTCATCTTGCCGCCGTAGCAGGGCCTCTCAGCTGACCCAGCTGGCCCAGAGGCCCAAGCTAATTTGCAAAATTAGCATTGGACACAGCTAGGAACTTTACTCTATTGGGATCTTTGTAGAGACTGTTCTATTCTGTGCCCGAGGACTCGTGCTTAAATTCATCATGATCGCGAGAGAAAAGACGTCCCGGACGATAGGAGACGACTGTATATAGGTCGTTAGGGCTTTCTTGTCATATGCCACGTGATACTGAATCGATAAGCCTGCTGGGTGTATGACTAGCGAAAAATAAATCTGTCGTACATACTATTTCATATTTCCTATTTATTTATAAGGTCCGCTAATGCGACTCCGTGTCTGCGAAACCAGTCCCACGGTTGCAATCTATGGACCTGTTTTTGAAATCTTAGACGACTCTACCTAAATAAACCATTTTTATGCTGGGCAAATGTCCATAGTCGAAACTGAT